TGGGGCCTCCAGGGGCTCAGCACAGCTGGAGTGGTGGTCACAGGCCCCAGCTCTGAAGGGCAGGGCTGGGTGTGAGGCTGGGCCAAGCCAGGCCCCTACTTTCCTCAGATCACTCCCCTCTGGGCCCAGCTGCTGCACACTCTCAAACCTGGCTGCTGGGATAGAGTTTACCTCTTTGACCCAACAAGGCCACCAGCCACCGCCATTACCCTACCAAGCATGCTCAAGAGGGTCTCACTGATCATCCCCAAGAGAGATGCATTTTGAAAAAAAACCCTTGTATAGTACAGGAGGGTTATACTGGGATTTCAGGTCCTTCCATGTTGGGATGATCCTGGTAGGTTCTTGCATCTTGCCCACATGACAAGCAGGCCCTTCCCAGTAGCTTAGTCCAAGGTGAAAACAGCTCATTCTCTGCAGATGAGTCCAACCTAGGAAATAATGTGCTCAGCAAAACCTGAACTTGCTGCAGGGGAGAGAGGAGAGGGTACTTGTATCTACAGGATGGGTGAGCTGCTCCGCTAATAACCCTGAGAGTGGAAAAGTCCCTCTGCCCCTTTCCTTGCCCTACAGTTAGCCAGTGCCCTTGCCTGAGGTAGATCATTGCTGGTCCCCTCTAGAAGGGAGAGGCCCCTACCCTATTCCCCACCCTCTGAAATAGCCAATCCCTATGCCTCCACCCTTTTTTCGAGGAAAAGACAGCAATAAAATCCAAGTTTCATATGGGAGAGCCCTTACAGTAGGCCCTCCCTGCCCTGAGATGTTATATTGGCAGGTATTTATACAGATTTCCTTCGATTTATGCAGTAGATGCGTTCCCAGGGAACAGCACATAAATCGAATTTGCATAAAGCAAACCCAATTTACAATGAAACAGATAGGGACAACACTGGAGATTCCAGGTACCTTAGTTCTGCTTCCAGCTCTAACTTGCTGTGTGACCTGGGATGTATTACTTTGAACTAAACTATTAAAAGGATCTCAGCCTGGCATCTGTTGTAATTAGTATTTAGACATCTAACTACCAGACATGCAGTTTGCTGGTTACTTGGAAATGACCCTTGGTAACCACAAGATCTGCAGCTGCAAAGTTACTGTTAAAAAATGAAGTTATTTTAAAAAATATCAGGCTTGCTTTGTGCCTGAGTTTCCCCATCTGTAAAACAGGGATATGCCCACTTTCTTGGAATATTAAGATAACTAACTAGTTCATGTCCACTGCTCTGAGATTCTCTGATGAAGGCTCTTTAGGAATTCAGATCATAAGTACATTTGATTCAATACTGCCCACACCCACTTAAGCATGTGAAGTGAGACTCCACACAGATGTTGATAGTCCCAAAATCCTACTCTCACACTTCCCACATTTAATAGTAGGATATCATATACCTTATCTCTTCACCAACTACTTATCATCACTTCCCATGTGTGCCTATGGGGATGGGAGAAACATAACATGGCTTCTTTTCAGTTACTTAAAGGTAGTCTAACTAAGAAGTACATGTTACTCTCAGCTGTGTGCTTGGCATGAATCCACCTCTATTTCTAACTGTGTATTCTCTGCTCTTAAAGAGTAGCAACAATTTCTTAGGATGATATATTTTATTGGACCAACTGTGTAGCTGTGAGTCAGACAAGCTTTTAAATGTAAGACATTCTTCATCAGACCTGATCAGAACAAGCCAGTCACAGCCACGTAAGCTTAAGACATTGTTGCTGTGTAGTCTGGCTTCTTTTTTCTTTAGGTTCTGGATTTTCCATTTTAAGTGGCAGATTTCAATGTCTTCCATGTCGTGGTAGTGTAAGAGCGATGGCATAGCCATGATGGTTCAGAAATGATGTGATCTTTCACTACCATAATATGGAAAACAACATAATTTACTGCTTAACAAAGCAAAATCTACAACCTAAAGAAAAAAAAAGCCAGACTGTATGTTGTAATGTTTTGCCCATGAAAACTCAGAAATGGATATAGCCAGTTGGAATGTGATCTTCTGGATCCAGGACTGGACAGAACAAATAGCTGCATTTAATGTCCCTCCAGTGCTTTGATAATGGCTTCACCCGTCCCCTGGGGGGGGAGGTGAGCCAAGGCAGAAGGCAGAGAGAGCTCCAGCATCTCCTGAAGTTGAGTGTGTCCCGGGTGCACAAGTGCAGGCTGAGCAGGGTCTGTTAGAGCATGTTGTACAGCCCAGACCCATTTTGCACCTGGTATTAAACTGACATAGTCTTCTACAAATGGCTTCTGTTTCCTTGGACTTCAGGGAGCTCAAAGCAGATGCAGCACCTGGACTAACAGACCAGAAACAAAAGATTTTCATAAAAAACACAAGTCAAATGTCTAGTTGCTGTTTTAAAATGTAAATGGGCAGAAAGCAAGCGCAGCTCCAGCCTGCCACAAAAAGGCCTCTCAGGCAGCAAGAGCGAGAGGGTGACAATCCGAAATCGGGGATGAGAAAGCCTCGGGCCAGCTCAATCTGCCGGGTCTATTTGTCCGGGCAGAAGCTGAAGGCAGACAACAGGGCAGACAGCAGCACCATCAAGCGACCTGGGCCCCATCGCGCCGCGCTCAGGGCAGGAGGACCGGCCCGGGCACATGAGGGGCCGAAAGCAGTCGCGGAGGCACCGGTTTCTCCACGAGGGAACTGACGGAGACGCAGCGCCACACACTGCCCCCCCCC